GATAATTGCATAATAAGATCGGGAAGGGAATGTTGGGATAGTATTGGTGATGTGAAAGGAAAGCATGCATGAAAACTCACAAACACATATACAGAAAGGAAATTCCGTCCATGTCTGAAATGTTATTGAAGCAGCACCGTAGGTGATGCTGACAACCGAATGGATCTAGTGACGGAAGTGGTTATTGTGCTTCAGGTGTTGGTGGTTAGTGGATACCATCAATTTGGTGCGAAAATGAAGAGGTGATTACCTAAATGTTTGAATTTCAAAATGATTCTCAGATACGTGTCTCTTCTTTTAGGTGGATGCACGTTGATCATTTATAAATCGAATCAACGGTGAACTACGATACAGAGAGCAACGTGGTCCACCGAGGACTGTGAAAGGAAGAGCGTGATGGGCCACGCCCGCGGTTTGAGGGCCGCCGCAAGTAGAGCAATCCTGGATGCGACGGTCGGAAAGCGAAAGTTACATCTGTTTGAATAATTACTGTGTTCGTCTAGGGTAAATGCGCAGTGGAATTACGCGGCCGGAATGGGAGAAATCGTTATGACAGACGACATAAGTCAGCTGATTGTACTCGGAGAACATAAACGCTTAAACACCACACGCACACATAAAAACACAACAATCCAAAGCGATTGTTATAGATAGTTTTGATTATCTGTGTCATAATCATGTATAGTACCGTGTGTATATTGCTTCTGACAGTTACTTCAAAGTTTACTAAGATATCTCAATAGTTTTGAGAATATGAACAGAAAAATAAATTTTGAATGTCCCCTTAGAAAGCCAGCTTGTAGAAGTTCCATTCTACCTGGCCCAGCAAGTTAAAACAAACAACAGCAACAGCAGCAGAAACAACAACAAACAAAGGTTTACAGTTATGAAGACGCTACACTTCTTAACCGCATAATATTCGACTTTTTAACATTTGTGGTTCATCTAGACCTGACTATGTTTAAACAATCAACAATCATAGTTGATTGCGAAAAGTAAGAGGAAGGATTAGCTTAACGTGATGGGCAGAGGACACGTCGAGAGAAAGCCGCCTATGGCACAGCCCTGACGAAGATTTTCTGCTCGGGGCACCAAGGAGAGGCGGCCAGGAACGGCAGGGTGTGGTCGCGGGTGCCCCCCTCCTGTCAGAGAAGACCTTGGTGGGCAGTCAACATAGACTTATGGAATGAAAGTGGAAGGAAGGCTTGCGTGACCATGTGTGGATAACATAACATAACAGCATGAATGATAATGTCATAGTAATCATATGGAAGTTAATGGTGATGGTGATTATAGTAATACGACGGCGATGATGATGGTGATAATGATGAGGATAAAAGGGATGTAGTG